AAGGGAGAGGCCACAACAGTGAGAGGCCCGCGTACCGCAAAAAAAAAAAAAGTAATACACTGACAAGTTCAGGTTTCTGGTAACTGACTATACTGCTGAACTGAATGAATAAGCATTTTCAGAACTCTAATGGAAAACTGATGAATTCATAAAAGTGCTAACAAAAGATCAAGATAAAAAAATAATAATTACATGGGACTGAGTGAACTGATGAGGATGATTATAATTTTTGTGACTTTCTGTTTGAATTTTAAAAAAAGTTAAAAAAAAAAGTAACTTACTGGTGTCCTAAGAACTAGTGAGGAGTGACAAAACTGACAGATCAAAGCACCCTTCCCCCACTTCTGACTTTAACTCCTCCACCTTATTTTGTAAGCACCTATTTTTCTGATCAGATATTATCCTGTTTGAAATGCCTAGAAGAGATTATATTTTCCTTACTGAACCCCAAGTATATTATTACAATACTTAGCTAAGAGTGAATTCCCCTCTATTTTAGTTACAGTATACACATTTACTTTAATAAAAAATATTGTATTCAGAATTTCATTAAAGCAACTTTGTAGATGTATGGAATAAAAAAAAAAGTAATATAATGTTCACTGCTACAATTTCGAAACAAATAAAGAAACAAAAGCAAAAAAGTGAAAGCCCTTCCTCCTACCAATCTTACTTCCCTAAAGCAGCCGGGTTAGTATGTGTTCTTAAATATCAAAATAAAATAAATGAGTCTATACACTATTTTTAACATAAAAACAGGATTACATTGTACATACTGTTCTGCAAAATTTTCTTTCACTTATATCACTGATACTATTAGATCTGATAATCAAGTTGCTTTATCACCTGATATCTTTGATTGTGGCTCTCTTCATGGGATCCACCTGCAGCATATGTTTCAAAAGGCTAATCACAGAAGGGTTTAAATACTGAGGGGTATAAAAGATCCCATCACATATCTTCTTAAAAAGAGTTGGCACGTGATCATCATCGAATGGAAGTGTTCCACATAATAAAGCATAGAGAATAACCCCACTGCTCCATATATCTACCTCTGGACCAGCATACAATCTGTAACAGGAAATATCAATTGGATTAAACAATCATTAGTAACTTAAAGAGTAAATCAATTAATCATTTTAAATATAGATACTTCATAAAGAATTATTAGTCAGAATATGGTTTCTATAAGTCACTGCTGTGTACTACACATACAGATTCTATACTAATTCTATCAGTATTATCTTTGAAAACAAAAATTAAGAATTTTTTTAAGTTACAAACTATAGCTAAAATTCTGTCCATACTACCTCACAAGGGTCCTCATGATATCCAATCAATAGGGCCAAACTTTGAACAAACATATCATTACTGAATTTAAAACCATTGTTTTTTGGTTACAGAGGAGAGATTAAGTGATCTTTCATCAAGTGAGAATGTTCTGACTCTAAAGCCACTCTCCGAAATAACCCGAGACCTCATACCTCATACCAAGGTAAAAGGGGCCTGAGGCTGTAGAATGAAGCCCAGCTAACTAATTCGCAGAAGATTCGAAACTCTTATTTGCAATACACTGTAACCCACTGACTTAACTAGCTACTGACTAATTAGATAACCCATTCAAAGTCTGGCTTCAGGGAAGGATTTCTTTAAATTGGTCAAATAAATTATTGAACTGATCAATATATACTATTTTGAAAGTAAAAGTTTCCATACATCTAGACCTCACAGAAGGACCTTATCCAAACTGGGAAAATTAGACTTCAGTAATGGCCCATTACATATATGCACAATTACATTTCTTTTTGTTTATTTAATTAACACTGCCCCCAGTATCCAGATCCTAAATTGTTTTCTTCCCCAAATAGACAACCCACAGGAAATAATAATTTAAACATTAAGTTAGTATAAAAAGGTAATGATGAACCTTGATAAATCTAAAATTAGATATTTCTGCCTTACTCATAACCATGCCTTAACACAAATATAATTTCTCTGAGCAGTCTAGGCAAGCAAGCTTATGAAAATAGAAAGAAAATACTACTCTATTTCTGCATTCTAAATTAATCAGGATGTAAGACATTCAAACAAAGAAACATGGTTTGAATGAAAGGTTATTAAAAGTTAATTATAAAAACTAGTAAACAAACTTTAGCTTCTTTGTTTTCACTTTCAGTAGTATAGGGAAGAACAGTTACTCTTCAAAAAATTAAATTTTCCTGTCATCTAAACTATCCGAAAAGCTGCCCTATACTAAGATCCTCATGTTCTCAATGCTGGTGGTTAGTAAATTGAGAGATTAGAATTCTTAAAATATTTCAGTCTCTAGAAGATGTAAAGAATGAAAATTAAATAAAATCTGAGGACTTTATCAATACTTCAGTCCAATTCCCCAAGGCACGTTATCATAAAAGCTAAAGCTAATTTGAAAAATTAAAGCTACCCATTACACTTTTAATTCTTCATCTAAGCAAATAGTACACTATTTCTTACTACTAGATATTTCTGTATTATTCAAGTTTTTAATGTCTCACCTTTAAAACTTGCTAGTTTTAAACCTTCAGTTTCTTCCACCAGGGGAAAAAACGAGTACTCTCATCTAACTAATATAATTTTGACTTGCAAACCAACATCCTCCTCAATAAATGGAGTCCTTAATCCTTATTCACTTATAATGTTTTATTCTTAAAATAGAATACCTTCTGGATAAGAAAAAAATAAGCTTTAAATTCCTTTCAATAGAATTGAATATTACACTATAGACTAACAAAGTCTAGGAAAAGAAGACAATTACAAATATATTGGGCGGGGAGGAGGTGGCAAACACTACCTTCCTGAAATTACTTCTGGTGCAGCATAGTTGGGTGAGCCACAACTTGTTCTTAAAAATTCACCATCTGACATCATGTTTGAAAGACCTGAAAATGCACAAAATCCACTGCTCAAGATTTCCCAAGAACAAAAATAAAAACAAAACTCCATTAAACAATAAAATTGAGTTTGCATTAAAGTGATAAATCATCATTTTGTTCTTTGCTTCAACAGAATCCTGTAGTCTTTACTGTTCCCAAATATTTTGCCTTTATGCCATAAAATCTGCAATCTGTTTCAACATATAAAGTTAGTGCATTGTTGGAGTTTCATGAGTACATATTAAGTTATTGGTTATTTTGTTTAATAGAATAAACTGGGCATGTTTAAGTTTTATTAATATAGAAATTACTAGAAAAAAATATAGAACCGAATTAAAAGTTTCTATTAACCTCCATTCTGATTCTTTAAAAAAAAAATTATAGGGCCTCCCTGGTGGCGCAGTGGTTGAGAGTCCGCCTGCCGATGCAGGGGACACGGGTTCGTGCCCCGGTCTGGGAAGATCCCACATGCCGCGGAGCGGCTAGGCCCGTGAGCATGGCCGCTGAGCCTGCGCGTCCGGAGCCTGTGCTCCGCAACGGGAGAGGCCACAACAGTGAGAGGCCCGCGTACCGCAAAAATATATATATAAATAAAAATAAAATAAATAATAATAATTTTTAATATCAAAGTTCCTTCATAGTTCTACTACAAAAAGAAAACTCGGGAACTCCCTGGTGGTCCAGTTGTTAGGACTCGGTGCTTTCACTGCTGTGGCCCGGGTTCAATCGCTGGTGGGGGAACTAAGATCCCGCAAGCTGCGCAGTGTGGCCAAAAAAAAAGAAAAAAAGAAAACTCTGCCTCCTCAAAAATACAATGTATAAAAAATAATGACAACTAAAGAATAAGAAAGTCAAATAATTTAGTCAGTTACAAAAAAACTCAGCAGCTCAGAGCTGTTGGGCACTATTTAGTGAATCTCTATAGATTAAAATATATAAACATATACAAAACTTAAGAAAATATAAGTATCTCCTCTGATTTGAAATGAAACTAAAAAAAGAGACTTGTAGATATTCATTTTTATCTCAGGTTTAATAATGTCAATGGCAATTTATATAAGAAATAAAGGAAAAATAAATTCATTAAATTTTCCTCAAGCTGAAACTATGTTTTTCTATTTAAAATATTTTACTTTCTTTTTTTAAAAATAATTTTGTTCATATGGTTTGCCTTCTGGCTTTCAAAGTCTGAATAACTCCAGCCCAGTCTCTTTCCTCTTGCTCCATACTTGATCAGAAGCA